ACAGACGAAGGCTCACCTGGAAGTGGCGATGTAAAACAATCCGGATTGATGGTGTGGAAGGCTTCTTGACCACCATCTTCTCCGAAGAAGCGGTTGCCACTCCAGACCGAAGAGACTCTGGGCCATGTCGCCAAGGCTGGTAAAGTCGACGATTTGGCCGGACTGAGGTTGTCCTGCAGACCGAGCCAGTCGTCGTGCCACAGGTCAGACGGTTCGAGCTGTTTCGGCTCATCCTTCAGCCATTCATTGTTTCTCGACCACACCGACAAGGCCTCAGAGGCGAGACTCTGTTTGAGTTGACTGCTCCCGGTCTCGTCTGTCTCCGGCCACGAGGCCACGGTTCTGCCGCTTGTCTTCTCGTCCCAGACCGAGGGCCAATTCTGGTTTACTCCTGTCCGTTCAGACGTTGTCTCATACATGGTCTTTTGGCAGTTCTCTGACGTCTCCGAAGCCGAGCTTACTGCGTCTACAGTCTCATCTTCAGTCGTCCTACTTGCGTCCATCTCTTTGAGTCCCCTTTTACGACCACTCATTGCGTAAGAATGTTCTTCACTTCGATCCCTTTTTCCGCCGGCATTTTGGCCGCTCAAAGCAGTCGTTTTGCCTGCCTCAAGAGAATACGGCTGAGTCGGCACATGACGAGGGAATCTTCTGCTTTCTGGCTCCTTGGCCAGACCGACTGGGGCGTCCATGTCCGGCAAAAGTGCTTCCACGAAGAATGACGAGGCTGGCCCGCCGCATGAGGACAGTCTCGACACGAAGGACATCCTCCCAATGCGACGATATAACAAGCGGTACCTGCACACGAGGGCGTTCTGGTTGGGGGGCTCGACAATCACGCCGGGCCTGACTGGTTGCCTAGAGCCGGCGAGGAGGCAACTAGTCGCGGCAAGTTGAGATTGCCAGTTTACGTTAGTCTGAGATAAAAGCTAAAATAGGTGAAATATAAAAATAGGCTTTTAATCATTACTGCCTACTCACTTTGTTATGAGTAGCATTGGTTAGATATTTGGAAAGTATTATTTTGCTTAATCGCCTAAGCTCGCTTTGAGTCATGCTTCTGTTGCTGTAAAATCATTTTTGGGACCTTAACTTTGTTTCACTGTGTGACACTCAATTTGCAGTGACGTGGGGAAAAAAGAATTTTTTTCCAAAATCTGCAAATTGTTTAGCAGAGAAATTGTTCTTTGAATATGGTTTTAAGGATGGTAACCTGCTATGATGATGTCTGTCATACGACAGACAAAGACTTAGCAGGTTTTCTTTGGAGTAGAAGAAGATTCTCTCAGAAACAGCGTCAACAAATTAGCTTCAGTAAAGCCAATCGACAGTTTGTCAAGAGAGATCCCTTATCGTATTCTGGTTGGATCGACCCTCGAATCTCTTCATCAAAACGCTTTCACTCGAAATGGAAGTGAGCTCAACAATTATGAAGCAAGAGGTTTCTTGAAACCCGACTTTTCTTATGAATAATTTGAGTTATGAAGAGGTATGAAGAGAGGTTGGGTTCAAAAAGAATCTTTGAATAGATTGATACTGGAATACCTTCCATTTAATTTGTAAAGGCAGCTGGAAGGGTATCATATATTGCCCTGAGTTGATACCAAAGAAGGATACCTTTGGAATAATGACTGTTGTATTGTACGAAGAAGACCATAGCTTATAATCCTACGACTTCGATGAATCCGTGACGAGTTCTCGTCTTTCTTAATGATATATGCATCATCCAAGCCAGAAAAAATCCTTTGCTAAAAATCTTAGCAAAATAGGGATTCATCAAGGTCGAAGAGCGCTGAGTCGAGGTATTCTTTGCACAATCCAACCTTCACACTTCCAAGGCGGACGTCTCTCAGTATTTGGAGAGATTAAATGATAAGCTATTCCATTTACATTTTCATTAGAAATTAGCAATATATAGCTAATATTTATGATATACCGCTGGTCCCATAATATTACTTATAATGCGATCAGAATAAAACATTACATTATTTGGTTGGCTACTTTGTTTTTCTCTTGCATACTTGTAGACAAGTGAAGATAATGCATGAAATGGGAGCAGATATGGTTACAACTGTTTTTTAAGTCAATAAACTTGCGTATCATCCTGCAATAGTGAGACTTATTTTTCGTTTAATAAGCATATTTTAGGAACAGCCAGTAGATCGCATATATGAGATGTATTTAC